TCTATATGTTGCTGTGTGTATGTCTATATGTTGCTGTGTGTATGTCTATATGTTGCTGTGTATATCTATATGTTGCTGTGTGTAGCCTATGTCTATATGTTGCTGTGTGTATGTCTATATGTTGCTGTGTGTATGTCTATATGTTGCTGTGTGTATGTCCATATGTTGCTGTGTATATCTATATGTTGCTGTGTGTATGTCTATATGTTGCTGTGTATGTCTATATGTTGCTGTGTGTATGTCTATATGTTGCTGTGTGTATGTCCATATGTTGCTGTGTATATCTATATGTTGCTGTGTGTATGTCTATATGTTGCTGTGTATATCTATATGTTGCTGTGTGTATGTCCATATGTTGCTGTGTGTATGTCTATATGTTGCTGTGTATGTCTATATGTTGCTGTGTTATCTATGTTGCTGTGCATAAGTCTATAAGTTGCTGTGTGTACATCTATGTTGCTGTGTATAAGTCTATAAGTTGCTGTGTGTATATCTATGTTGCTGTGTATCAGTCTATAAGTTGATGTGTGCATGTGTATATTTTGCTGTGTGTATGCTATATGTTGCTGTGTGTATATCTATATTTTGCTGTGTGTATGTCCTAATGTTGCTGTGCGTCGATGTGTGTGGTGCGGACAGTGTTGTTGTTATAGTAACTATATTATTGTCAGTATCCTCTTTACATTTAGTTTTTGTGTATTTATATTTATTGTTGTTTTGTTTACATTGTCTGATACATCACATCTATATAATGACGTCATGTTTGGGAGTTGGTCAACGACATTACTTCATTAATATCCGCATGCAAAACTCCTCACCAGCAGGTGGCAGCAATTCAGCCTGTTTTCATCTGCTCACCATGAAGAAGGAGAAGAAGAAGAAGAAGAAGAAGAAGAAGAAGAAGAAAGGAGGAATAGGAGGAAGAGGAGTGGCAGACTATTTAAACTGCTTTGCTGCTTCAGGAGGAGTGCCGCTGCCCTGTGCTGGTCAGCCGTTTCTGGATCAGATGCCTGGATGTGAGTTCGGAATTTCGGAGGTAAAATCGTAGTTGATGATTTTCAGTTAAACCTCAGGTGTTGTGATTGAAATGTGTCCGCGTGAAATCAGTCAGAGCCAAACAAACGGGACCGGTTAATGTGACAGACGGGACCGGTTCATGTGACAGACGGGACCGTCCACTGAAACGCGGTCGGTTTTATTTCCCATCATTCTGTGTGTTCTCAGCTAGCCTGCATGCTAACCAGCTAGCATTACCGCGACAGCTGCTTTATGGTAAACAGCTGATCGGTGTGGAGGCGGAAGCGGAAGAGACAGAGAACAAACTGCGCATCAGAACACCAGAGCGGGTCCGAGTGATCTTTATCGATCAATAATAAATATCAGAAACACCTGCTCAGACAGGAGGAGAGATGAGCCGCGCAGGCGCTGAACTGAGGATTATCTTCAGCCCGGGGCGCGTGCAGCTGGTTCAGGTAAATTGCTAACAATGCTAACGGCTAATATCAAGTGTTCACTGTGGACAGAGACACGGACTCGATTGATTAATTGATTGATTCCTGCATTCATTAATATTCTGTTTTTTTTCTAAATTAAAGTTTCAGCACGTGTCAATTAAAGATAGAAATACTTTAACTGATCATCTGAAAACTGATCTGTGTGTAGTGTTGATTGTAGTATTGTATTGCTTGTAGTATTTATTGTGGTATTGTAATACTGATATGAGTACTGCGGTATTTAATATTGTAGTATTGATAGAATTGTAGTATTTAAATTAGTATTGTAGTACTGACATTAGTAATGTAAGACTGTTATTAGTGTTGTGGTATTGATATTAGTATTATAAATTTGAATTGTGAAATTATGACAACTTAAAACTGAATGTTTTTATAAATACAATACTTGTCCACTACACAACTGTAGCCTAATCTAATGGCACAGTTTGCAGCCTGGCTGAGAGAACTTTATTTTCCTTGATTTTTTGAAAAAGAGCTCTAAGGCTCTGTCGAATGGAAACTCGGTCAGAGGTGGTCCATTGATGCTGAGTAGCATGCATGCAGCCAGATGGTCCCCCTGCAGCCTGTTCCTTTAGGTCTGTCTTCACCTACACATAAAAACAATTAAAATCGTGCTGAATACTGTTGATCTTGAATGTGCTCTTACACTGAGCAGGTTGTCTGGAGAGGGGGCGTGGTAAACAGTTAGCAGGTGTCGCAAATTAATAAATGACTGCTTGCCCCTGTTCGAGCTGTGTGTGCGCATGCCGGTCAAACGAAACCGATGGCTTCGTGTGATTATTCCTCCGCCAGTTAAAACATTTTATTCGGTGTTCCAGCCCTTTTTATGATGGCAGCTCCAACAGGTTATGGGCCCAGGAAGGAGTTTGGAAGTTGATGAAACTGTTTATGTTTCGACGGAGATGAGAATAATTATGAGTTGTGGGAAATTAAGTTTCTGGCACATCTGCGCCTGCTTAATTTGAAGAGCACCATACTCAACAAGCCGCCCGGTGAGGACGCCACGATGATGATGGCACCGGTGCAGCAGACGATGCTGATAAAAATGAAGAGGTGTATGCAGAACTGATTGTTTAAAACAAAGCTAAGGAGCTATGAGAACACGGAAAAGTTCAATGCCGTTTGCTCAGATGATGACAGCGTGATGAAAGTGAGACAGCGGCAAAGTTAACATTCGGGTCGTTTTCCCAGGCTTGAACAAAAAATGCATCAAACTTAACCTTGCTTAGGTAGGCTACCTTTCTCTCACCCTTTTCTCTTCCTCTACTTTGTACTGTTGTCTTTTTGCCTCCTCTCCATTCTTGAGCACGCCGCAGTACAGCCAGACAGGCAGGTGATGACTCCAGTGTTTGTTTTTCAAAATAAAGTTAATAACAGCGCAGTGTCACATAACATTTTATGATATTTACATTATCATTTCAAACTCTGATTATGGTAAGTATATGTGCGCAAATATAGGCTATCCCCCTATCTATCTATCTATCTATCTATCT